GATCCTATGGCAGACAGCTGGGGCTGGGGCTAAGCTGGAGCTCAGAGCTGGTTCCTGGTGCTGGATGGGGGGAAGAGGAGGAGGCTCTTCAGCTTTGGGATGGTGGGTGAGAGGGTGCTGCCACTGCCCCTGTGTGCCCTCGTGGTTGGGGGAATGGCCCAGCACATCTGGCCATGAGGCTGCAGCTGGTGCAGGGCACATCTGGCTGGGCAGATGAGGGGGCTCGACGAAGGGGTGGCTGGCAGTTGTGTTTCCATCTCCCTCTCCCTGCTGTGGGTTGCTGGTCACCCCAGCTCCTGCAGGCTGGGAAGGAGGGGTCACACAGAAATCCCATCCCATCCCATCCTGCTGTGGGGCTGGGGTGGCTCCTCAGCCCCGGGGGCTCCAGGTAGCCCCGGGCTGGTCAGAGCCCGGCCAGGCACCCAGATCTGCTCTTCTGGTTGTGATACTGAGCCATGAGGGGAGAAGGACCATATGGTCCCCTCTGTGCTGGCCTAATAAACCCAGCAATGCAGGTCAGGCGCTGCAAATCCACCACAGAGCAGAGCCAGGAGCTGGGGCTTAACCCTTCTGTCCCCCCACACCCAGCCAGAGGTGGGGGCATGAGAGTTGCCCTCCCTCCTGTGGGCTGCTGGAAACCACGGGCTGGGGACAGTGCTGTGGGGACTGGAGTCTCCTGAGCTGTGTTGCTTGTCTGTCCATCCATCCATCCATCCATCCATCCATCCATCCATCCATCCACATCCATCCATCCATCCATCCATCCATCCATCCATCCATCCATCCATCCATCCATCCATCCATCCCTCCATCCATCCATCCATCCATCCATCCATCCATCCATCCATCCATCCATCCATCCATCCATCCATCCATCCATCCATCCATCCATCCATCCATCCCCTCTTCTCCCTCTCCCTAGAGCTCTCTTGCTGCCCAGCCATTTCTGACCTGTCTCCTTCCATCCATCTCTCCATGCACTCTATTCTCTCTGCTGGTTCATCTCTCCTTATCCACCCTTCCTTCCTTGCATCCATACACCCATGCATCTCCTTCCTCCCTCTTTCTCTCCCCACCCCCTGCCCCTCCGTGGTGCAGAGGCTGGGACTGGGCTGTGATCCCCCCTCCTGGCACCCACCTTGGGCTGGATAGAGCTGGGCTGGACCCTCTCCTGGCACAATTAGTTCACGGCCAAGGAACTGCAGTGCTGGCCCTGTCCCCCTCCTGGTGACAGGTCATGGTACCACCTGAATGCTTGTCTGTGGCAGGGCATGGCTCTCTGGGTGCTGGCAGTCTGCCTGCACAGAACTAATCATGACTGTTGCGCTAATTAGTTCCCATCCCATGCTTGTCCCTGCTCCCTCCCTGCTCCTGCCGCGGTCGGGGTGCAGGTCTGTGCGTGGCTCAGTGCTGGGGGGGTGTCCCCACCACGGCAGAGCTTGGCCCCTGGTGCCCTGTCTGAGTCCTGAGTCTTTTCTGCAAATAACCTCACTCTTGGGGGAGAAATCCCCTTCCCTGCTCGCTGGGGATGGCGGAGCAGCAGGGCTGCAGGGAGGCACTGCTGGGGGCAGTGGCTGAGCAGGGCAGCACCCGTGGGTGCCCTGGGGCTCGGCACCCGTGGG